ATATAATATATATTATACTTATAATATAGTTTTTGATTATAACGAAGAGATGCTATAAAACTTCACTGTTTTAAACTGGCAATTTTACTTTGCAAACGAAATAATCAATACATGTATGTCATTTGTCTCTATAAATACAAATTATAAACATATTTTAAGTAAGGTTTACGTGATGTGGTTAGATGGATCTTCTGCTCAAGTAAGAAAATCGTGCAATTCACAGCACGTCGTAAACGCGTATAAGTTTGCGTGATGCGCGATCGATCGCCTACGGAGTAGAGAGAGACTGACCTACCCTGAACGATATCAGTAGCATGTGCTGCAGAGCGGAAGTAGTACGCATGCCCGACGTCACTGGCTCCTTCTCTTCAGGAACTGCATCATGTAGGGATAATGCTTTGCGAGTGACACCGCGGCGAGCAAATGCAGCTCGCGTGGGCTCGCCACCCTCTCGGCGCTATTTGCGTGTAACACAGAATTGGGAGCGCGCTAGAGTTTTGTTGTTTACGCCGAGATGGCGGAAATGAGGGAGAATGTAAGTTAATAAAATGCACTAATATATAATATGATAAATTTGTCGTCGATTTTCCGGCAACAACGTGACGTCGCGCGAATGTTCAATCAGATTTCGCGTGAAATTAAATCCGGAAGTATTCGAATCACATTTGGTTGAATGAGAATTTATTTGTACAATTTTCAATTTTCAATTTTAATCGCGATTCCGTAAAAATCACAAAATTTCGCGACAAGCGAAAAGAAAAAAAAGAAAAAAATACGCGTGGTGAAAAATCTAAGTTTTCTGTGAATTTTTTTTATAATGTTGAAACGAGATTGAACTTCTCTCAGAAGAGAGTACGTGATTGTGTACACATTGTTTTTCTCACGCAGGACAGAGCTGCGTTGTGCTTCTTGTTAATACTCGCGTTGTGTGCGAGGGTTTACTCGGCGAATGCCAGACACATAATCACTAAGAGAAATTACAGCGATCAAAGTGTCAGAGGCTATCTGGCGGAGGTGAGCGATCGCATCAAGTGTCAAAGCGGAGATTTTTAATTCAGTTATATGTGAGAGAAATAAAGAGAGAAAACCCAGAAAAATCGTTTTCGTGACGGATTTTATCACATTTCAGAGGACCTGTTGGTGGAACGAAGTGTGCAAAGAAGAGTTCCACAGTAAGTTTCGCTGTCGCTGCCCGAGATGGTCCTATTGCCGTGCACCGGGACGATATTACGACGCGCACTGCAGCATGACACGCACCGGCTACATATGGACTCAACCGGAGACGTCGCTGAGTCTCGAAATGGACAAATAAGCAACACCGGTAAGTGTCGATCTGCCGCGAGAGATCTTTTTTTTTTTTTTCGAAATGAATTAATAAAAATCTGTCGCAAAGCTGCTGTTCTTCTCTTGTTCCTTTTGATGTGAAAACGAATATTATTCTATTTTTGCAGGAACGTGTGCGAGACGCGAGCGGAAGAAATCAAATCTTTCTCATTGAAAATCAAAACCGACGACATGTTAGAGTTTTCGCGGATCGTTTATTCACCAGTTAAAGACACAATTGTGTCCAAGAGAGAGTGTTCATCCCTTTTATTAGCAGCTATGTTCGGAGAGAGAGAGAGAGAGAGGAAGCTCGTGGGACGTGGGTCATCGAGTTTGGAAGAGACGACGGTGTTCGGAATGCGTCGGAGCTGAGAGGGCAATAGTAATTAATTTATATAAATTATATAGCACATCGACACTTGCGCTGCCAAGATTTTACAGTTACTGTGTTAAATAAATCGCTCTATTAATCCACCAATAAAGTTATGATAATGCAAAATTTCCACCCGGACAATTTGTTTCATTTTGCGCAAGTGCAATTTGTTTTACGAATAACATGCATTTCTTTTTCGTTAATTGTAGTTACCTTATTTTTACATAGTTTTATTTGTGAAATAGTTTATTTATAAATAACCCTCAGAAACAGTCTCGACTTTATTGTCATCAAGACAAAACTGCGCTTCGATGCGTATGTGCGTGTGTCTGGAACGCCGAGAAACTTTTATTGATTAGCCGACGGATAAAGCCTCTGACGTCAGTCGGTTTCCAGGATACGTTCCAGCGTCGCTTCCCACTTTTCCTAGGTAACAGCGATACCCAGGACACTTGCGCGCGATTATCGATTGACGGTCCCACCTGTCGGATTTGTCCTTTCTCGTGACCCTGGTCCAGAAACAGTTGATTTCGAGCGACAGTGCGGAACAGCTGTTCCGTCGCTTCATTGTATTTTTTGTTTTTTTATCTTCAACACGCAACTGTTTTTAGTCTTCCGGCTGATGCGCAATCGTTAATCAAAGTCGTTATTAAATTCTGAACAAATTCTGAGTGCGATTTTTTATTTATTTCGATTGGTTGCTATTCAATTGTGTGACAACTTTCTTCCCTCAGACTCTCGTTAAAATCGTCAATCGCGTTGAACAACCCTCTCGAAGTACCGTGTTCTTTCTTTTGTCTGCCTCGTGTGATGATTGATCGACTTTCCTCGTAACTTGTTGCATTCGTTTCGGCACGTTGTACATATTGGTCATCGAATTCGACGAGCGCGTGCGCGTGCTATTGATTCGAACCTCCTGGAGGTCCGGATCCTCGTCAGTTGAGAGGCACTCGCGAAAGAGAAGAAGAACATAATAATGGCGAATAGACACTTTAATCAGCCGTCGCGACTTCTCTCGGTTCTTGTGATAGTATTGTTCAAAGGTGTTGAGTCTTACCGAGGTGGCATCAACAAAGACATCTCGGTCTACGAGTACATCGCTCTCAACATACACGTACGTACCTCTCGCCTCTCCCACGAACTTTTCTCGCACGTCAATTTAACAATTTTGTTACATAGATTTTTCTTTAATTCATTATTTTTAATTGCGTTCGTCGTTTTTATCGCGATCACACACTCGTCGTTACGCGAGATCAAATTTTTCAGGATCCCAAGCCATCACGTCCCGTCGAAAATTGTTGCTGGCGAAGTCCCGAGAATCTCGGCGAGATCTCCGGAGTCGCGGTGAATCCGGACGGTTATCCCGTGATTTTTCATCGCGGCGATCGAACGTGGAGTTACGAGTGAGAGCAAATACATTCGACCTTTTCTTAAAATTGCTAACGTCAAATTTTTTTTTTTTTTTTTATATTCAAAAACACTCTCTTACGTACATTTGTCGACGTGAATTATCTTTGTAACACTTTTTGGGAACGCACTTCGTATTTTCAGCACCTTTAACGAAGCCGCAGAATATCAAGAGGAATACAAAGGTCCCATTCAAATTAATACGGTGTTGACGCTGGACTTCAAGACCGGCGACATTATTAGCGGTTGGGGAAATCATACGTTTTATCTGCCGCACGGAATCCACATCGACAAGCAGAGAAACATATGGCTGACCGACGTTGCTCTCCATCAAGTGTTCAAAGTGTGTACGGGAGAGTCTCTCGCATTAGTTCAAATGCCATAACTCACAACTCTAATCCTGTGAATCCTGATATTTATGTCCGACGCGATTTTGTTTTAATTACAACGTTGCAAAAAATTTTGTAAAAATTCATGAGGCATTATTCAATATTTTAAACTAAGGAAATATTAGTTTTGATATTTTTTATTTAGAAATTTTCCCACTAAAGTAATTTTTAAGATAATTCCTCATCTAAAGTCGCTCGGAAACGAGTTCAGGGATTTACAGGATTGGGGTTAAAACTGTGACGACTTGCTATCTTATTATTTGCCACTGGGGTAAAACTGTGTTCGTAAACAACTATGTAGTTTTCGCCATCCGGAGGTGATCGATTGATGACGCTCGGGCAGAAATTCGAGCCCGGAAACGACCTGGAGCATTTCTGCCAACCAACGGCGGTTGCCGTTTTGCCGAATAACGAGATTGTGATCGCTGATGGATATTGCAACCACAGGATATTAATGTTCGACAAAGAAGGCAATCCTAAATACAGTATTAACGAAGGCACGTTTGATATCCGTGACGTTAATATTAACAAATAGATCTAAAAACTATTAACAAGTATTTGAAGATCTTTGAAATACTTGATATTTTGAAACGCTTAATATTAAAAAAATATAATTAATATGTTAAATATTTTTTTTTATCTAGAAAATATTAATAAGTATCTTTTATTTTAAAAACTTATTTGTAATAAAATGTATGTTTCTATATAGAATGGATTCCTTTAAACGTTCCTCACGCCCTGACGGTATTGCCGAATAGACAAGTGTGCGTGGCCGACCGCGAACACTGGAGAATCGTGTGCCTGCCATGGTAAAAATTTTCTCACAATTTTTCCGAGAATTTTCATTACAAATTCTCACAGTTTATTTTCAATATTTTTTCAGATTTTTAAGTTTAAGAATCGGAACGTTTTTGTTTTCCAGAATTTCTCAGAAATAATTTGATTACTTCCGAGTAGTTCTCAGATAATCGATCATGTATTTAATTTCAAGTAAAAGTTTTTCCTCTGGTCGATTTTTTCGACCTTTGCTCTTATTCGCTTCTGCGCGGGATTCTGCGGAATCTCGTACGAAGGAACCAATAAGAGCGATAAGAATTAAAAAATAACAGATTTGTTTAAAATTCTTCAAACATTTAAATTGCGACAAATTCTTGACAAAACGTGTGACACTTTGATAACGTTTTTTTTTTCGCCAGGGAGTACAAGACAAATACTGAAGCGAGTCAAGATCCTGCAGTTCCTTATTTAATCAGTAACGAGGCTTTCGGCCGTATATTCGGTATTGCGTCGTATCGTGAGTAATTTATCATCTTTGTAATATTTCTTAAAAAAATTACTTTTAAAACGAACGGAATAAATAATCTTTTTCTTGCTCTCAATGACTCAAGACGGTACCATTTACGCTGTTAACGGCGCGACGTTAAACTCAGATGGTAGCAAGATTCAAGTCAGAGGCTTCATCGTCGATCCCTTGCATCGAAATATAACGGGAGTTTGGGGCCCGGAGACTTCGGTAAGTATTACTGTTTTATGCTAATGTATATAAGAATAATTAATTAATTTTTGCCAACAATCTATACAACAAAACAATCTTAGCTCATTGCTTCTATGTTTTTTTGTATAATTTATGATTTTCTTTACTGTTTGCTTGCTATGCTTATCGCGATTAAAGTAGTTGTAGATTTAATTAGACTTGGAATTGGCAATTGTTGTTGTTGCCTCGCCCATGAGTAATTGTTACGTCTTTAAATTTATTTTTAATACAATATATTTTGTGTAACTTTTGTTCGTAACTGCGCTGCTCAACAAATCTATTATTATTCTTATTTTTATTATTTTTAACAAGAAATCTTTTTTCCAGTCCTTTGAAAATCCCCACGCTATTGCTGCGTGTCCGTACGGCAGCGCTATATACGTGTCGGAAATTGGACCGAACAAGATCTGGAAGTTTGATCTGAGAGAGTAACTTCTTTGGTAGAGTAACTCCTGTCGCGCGCAACAAGCGTAACCACGCGTAACAAACTTACAATAATCGAAATTTGCGTTATCCCCACCTGATTGGCATGTACCTGATTCCGGGAAGGAGAAAAAACAACAAGAGACCCGAGAGATCGAATTTGCGAAAGCCAGCGACGACGTGCGAAATATATATCCCATTGGTCTTTTTATTACGTCTCGCAACAACATCGCAAATGTCAATGTAGCAACAAGAAATCATCTTCGACGGAATGTTCTCATCTTTCGCAAAATAAAGTTCCAAAGCGAAAAATAAGACGCGCGTATTATTTTTGTATTTGTGTATGTTAAAACCCATGTATTCTGTGTGTTACGTATGTTATGAATCCAAACAGAACGCAAATATATAAATGTTCTGAATAAATGTATATGTGTGTTACATTTCTTTTATTAAAAAATTAAAAAATACGCTCACATCGGGGGGGGGGGGAGTAAATTATTTTTTGTTTCATACAACAGCTGACTTCCGTTTGTGCGACACATTTGACAGAGCAGATAAAAACAGATTTGTGGAAGACTCGTGTTTTTTCACGTGTGTCTTCGTTGAAAAGAAAAATTATATTCAATTTAGAATTATGGCTTTTGGACTAATTAAGTGGTCGATGTCGCTTATAATATTTTCGATCGTCCTGGCAATTATCACGTGGTCCGCCGTGCACCTGGGCAGAAAAAGTGCACAAAACGTCACGGAATCTGTTGCTTCGAGATTTCTTTACGTGAACGATCGTTCCATTCGCAAGGAGAGGTGCGCTTTTCTCAAATAAAGAAAAGGTTCACGTCCGTAACAAATTTGTTTTTCGCTTCTATAATAATTTTATAGGTCAAGTAACATTTCACAAACAACGTATTCGACAATAGCGTACGGAGCAAAATTGTTTGACATGAATAGATTACAAAAGTCTGGTTTGCATCGGTTTGTCAGAATGAACGTTTCCGATTTTTCTCCGAATGTCTCTATTGCCCTCTCCTTTCAACGAGCGTCGTCTAATTTGACGCATTTAAAATAATTACGACAGGACAAACGGAAAAAAATAAGAAAATAATACAAGCGCAATAATCTGAACGCTTGCCAATTCCTATCCTATTCTTATTTAATAGTAAAAATAATTTTACTTACTGTTATTATTTATTGTTATATAATTTTGCTTTAATTTAAAACAGCAATGTATTGACATCTGTCGACATTGCGTTTATTGGGTGGTTTATTGTATAAGTACAAAAAAAAATTGTAACAATTATACTAATTTAAAAATAATAAAAATAAAGCAGAAAAAGAAATAATAAATAATTATTATTGTTAATAATAATAAATGTTTTAATAATATACATTTTCGTCTATGTATATTGACCTTTCGTAAAAGGTCACTGACCTTTCGGTAAAGGTCACTGACCTTTCGTTATATGGTTTGTAATACTTATATACTAGCTGTCATCGTGGTGACAGGTTGTGTTCACTGACACAACACTTTAAGTAAAAGTGTTGTTTAAAAAAAAAAAAAAACAATCATCATTGCAACAGCGCAGACAAATGTGTCTGGCAGCTTCTTCAGGCTCTCGTTCCAGAAGACGTTGCGTTGTTAGTTACCAGTTTCAATCAAATGAAAAGTTCACGTAACTAAAAAAATATATATTTACAAATATAATAAATACATATCGCGCTGATTTTTGCGTTTTCATTGTCGTAGATGAGGAAAACGCGCAATGATGGAAATTATCAAAATTGAGTGTTTGAAATGTAAGTCAGACATGTCTCTCTCTCTCTCGCGACGACATATGTAATTTGGCCATATTATATAATTTTTAATTTTAACTGTGATATATGAATAATATATCACAGTTAATTAAATGTGATAATATATCACAGTTAATTAAAACAAGAAATATATATTAAAAACAAGAATAATAGCGACAACAAGTTTCTTGCGTTTATATTTTATCACAAACGTTTAATTTAGTTTCGTGTGCGACGTATCATTTCAAACCCCATAAAAAAAAAAAAAACGTGGCAGAAAATATAAATTACATGTTCTTTACGCGCGATCGAAATAAAAATATACAAACAATGAACTGCGTCGAACGTTTCCTCATCGAGCCGCCGTCCTTGAATTTTCATTTCTTGATGTTCTTGTCGGAGTTACACGACAAAAGCACGATCGGCCATAGTAAACGACTTTTCCGTCAAGATTTTCAGGCCGGTTCGACCGAGTACTCCGTTCTCGTCTTGTGTTTTCTCTCGAGCTTCTTCTGTATCTCCTGCAACGTCTTTCCTTTCGTCTCGGGTACGATAAAGTACGCGAATACCGCGGACGCTGCGGTGAAGCACGCGAATGTCCAGAAAGTAGCCGCCTGGCCCATATGCTTTTCCATTGTCGGGAAGAGCTTGGTGACGGCGAACACCAAGCTCCAGTGCGCCACAATCGACATACTGCTCGCGACGCCCTTGGTCTCGGGCGGGAAGATCTCGCTTATCACCGTGAACGGCACGGATCCGTAACCGATCGAGAAGACGATGTTGAAGAAGGCGAGACTCGTAAGCGGCAGCCAACCGAAGTCGCTCACGTCGGTTCCCTTCTCCTGGGCCTTCAGATAGTAGCCGAGAACGCCCAGACAAACGGTCATCATTGTGCCGGATATTATCAGAAGCGGCTTCCGACCGAATCTGAAGAAAGAACCAAAGTCCCGACTATTGCAAAAATTTGTTTCTTTTAAATAACGCACTGAAATAAAGAGATTTAAAACGATCGGATCTTACTGCGTATTGAGAATGACTGACACGCATTTATCATCTACTCTACACCGGGAAAAAAGATTTGCCAGAATAGCAGGAAGATGAGAAAAATTTTGTTGAGTCTATTGAAAGTTTTGTTTTGCACTTTTTGGTTGACAAAACAAAAAATTCCAGTAGACTTTAATTTTCTTGCTATAATGGCCATATAATGAAAAAAAAAAACTTTTTTCCGTGCTGAAAATCGCTGATTTCGAAAAAACCTACTCGCGATAATATATCATTGCGCTAAAGTGGTCTCTGACCTATCGATCACGGCGGCGACGAATATCGTCATCACAACTTCGGTGATACCGATAATGATGGTCGCCAGGAAAGGATCGATCGAGCTGCTGGCCGCTTCGAAGATGTCGACCGTGTAGAAGAGAACCGCGTCCACGCCGCACAGTTGCTGAAAACTCATGAGACCAATGCAAGTGACGGCCGCTTTGCGTCCGGCCTTGGTCCCCAGGAGATCTTTGAAGCCGCCGGTCGCGCTCGCCATTCTGTCGACGTCGTCCTGAAGAACGGTTATCTCCTCCGCGATGTCGTAGTGCTCGCCCCGCAGAATTGTCAGGACCTTGGCGGCCTGGATTTTGCGGTCGCGTTGCAGCAGCCACATCGGCGACTCCGGAATGAAAAACACACCCAGAACGAAAGGCAGCAGAATGATCCAACAGGCGAAGTTGAAGACAACGTAGGAACAGTACGCGCCGATCACGTAGGAGAACACGATTCCCGAGGAGAAGAGCAGCGGGAAGAAGGCGCCCAGAGCGCCGCGAATCGACGTCTGAGCGATCTCGCCGATGTAGACCGGCACGAGGACGCACGCCGCTCCGGCGCCGATCCCGCCGACGAACCGGGCGACGTACAGACCGAAAACGTTCTCGGTCGTGAGCAGGATGAGCCAGCACGTGGTGAACGGTACGGCCGTCAAGAGTATGGTCCACTTGCGACCGATTAGATCGGCGATCTTGCCGGCCGGCAAGGCTCCCACAATGGCGCCGAGCGCCAACAGAGACGAGATCCACGAGATCTGAGTATCGGACGGTTTTTCGGGTAGGAAAGAGTCTTCCGACGTGAGGTAAGGCAAGATCGGCGACGTCCAGCCGAGCGTTATGCCGGCCTGCATACCGCCCAGTGCAGCTGCGAACAAACGGCACGTACTTGTCAGACAAATGTTTTCCCGCGTCAAATCAGATGATGTGTAAAACAAAAGGAGAAAGATCTTCGTGATTTCTCTTATCGATCTACCTCGTCAATTTTTCTGAAATTGCGGAGTATTTACGATCGCGTACAAAACTGATGAGTCGATGACTGATTGTTACTAATGGATTATTAAATGCGTGACGTCACGAAATACGCCAAACTTTTGTATATTTGTCTCGCTTCGTTATCAATCCAAGATGGCCGCGGAAGTAACGAGAAACCTTAATCCTAATTATCGAAATAACTCGGAACAAATGTGACTCAAAATTTTCATATATGACATGAGATTACAACACACAGACATTTATTGTCGCCGGTAAATTGGATTCGAAACGATTTACGCGACGGGAATAGCACTGATAAAAACGATAGGATAAATATTTCGTCAATGAATGATAAAATTCCGCTATATATCTCTCTCTTGCGTTACGCACATTTTACTGCACCGGCCGAAAATAATTTATATGGGTGCTTTTTTGTTTAAAAAAAAAAATTGCTAGAAGTACTTTTTGATTATCACTTAAGTTCAACGACTCGTATAACATACCTTATCGTTACGTTTTGCTTGTGTTTTGATAAGAATCGGAATATTTGTATCTAGCAGATAAATAAAATCATCTATTAAAACTTTAAGAACAATCTTATTAACACACGCGCGCACATTGTCGGTTAATATTGGATAATACATGCAAATTTGAAAGCTTAAACTTATACGATATAGACTGAAAAAAAAAACAGTTAAAAATTAAAATTTATTGATATAAAAATCGATTAATACATAATAGATATAAAATTCGTTTGTTGAAAAAGCAATATTATCTAATCGAGTTTTAATTAGTAGATATTATTTTTCTTATTATTGTTGTCTACACAAGAAAAAAATATATGCTAGCCAAAAATTAGTTACTATATAGAAAAATTGAGTTTTTTTTCCGAAACGTTGTGCTGTGCCAAAAATTCAGTGAACTCAACAAATTTTTCTTGCTGGCATATATATAATAGCAAAACGTTTTTCTTCGTGTACACATTATTGCATCGTTTATTACGTCGAATATTAATATTCCTATTGTGTGTGCGTGTCACTAAGATTATTTTTTATACAAGTTTTAATTGATCATTTCATTCAACCAAACAAAAGTTCGTTTTTTTTCAAACAAACTTCACCTACATGTGTATCTAATCGTTTGTTTGAAACTGAAGATTTTGCAAACCCGCGCGACTGATCGAGAAGACGCAGATTTCCTCTAATGACAAACGTATCAGGAAGATGAGACGAGATAGGAAAGGATTTTGATTCCGCGAAGCAAACAGAAAAAAAAAAACAAGAAATGTTAAGAAATCGATCACTCTTTGAAGATAACACATCGATAGCTTGTATGTTACGAGACAACGTGTCGACTAACGCGTTGTATATCTTACATATTTTTTTCTCTTACCGCACAGAGCGACCAAGAACTGAAAGCGTTTTCTTCCCTTGCCAGTAATGGTTTTGTTATCTGGCGCGTTTGTTACATTCTCCTGCTTGTCGCATTCGATTTTGTCCGACAGAAACAATTTCGACGACGCCGTCTCGGTCGTGTGCACTGTCACTGTGGCGGTTGCCGTCATTCTCGAACAAGAAGAACAACAACAATTCGGGAAAAAACCACCAAAACAAAAAAAAACAAAAGACCGTTCGCGAGAGGTTGAAAGATCGCGAGAGCTGGTGACAAACGACCGATCACCGTGGCCGGTGATAAAACTACGACGAACGAAATGTTGCACGCACGTTCCTTGGCCCACTGATATAATGTGGCCTTATCACGCCGATTTATATGTTCAATATAATGTGCTTATCGCTGCGCATCATCTCCAGAAAGACACGCTCCACAATCCCCTCTTCCTCATCCCCACTTTCTCGTGCGTATCGCACGCACCACCGATTCGTGCATTCGAAAGCCTCGATTGTTTCGTACGAAAAAAAAAAAAAAAATTTGCTTCGAGTATTAATATTGTGATTCAAGGTTGCGATAAAAAAAAAAACACTTGTAAGAATGGGAAATAATCGAAATCGCGAAATAATCCATGACGAAAGATCTTGACGCGAAATCTCTCGAGTAATAACGGGGGGAGAAAGAGAGAAAGAATAGAAGATTTTAATTTCACGAGTGAATTAAAAGCAAATATAAATCGAAATATAGATTTAGAAGACAAATTGAAATATTTAGATAATAGAACGCGCGCGCGTCAATATATACACGTGTATCATTACTTGTTTGTAATGTACAGAAAAAAGGGGTAAATATAGAATTAAGACCCGGCACACGATTAAGGATCGCAATGCGGCAACCTAATTTCGTCAGACGTACGTAAACACTTTGTTAAAGATATTTTGACGTTTGTGTGCGGAAATTCTGAAAGAGTACACACGCGCACGCTTCCCTTTAACGTACACAATTCGCGCTATTTTGCATTGTCTTCACTGATGTCGTCATTACATTTTCATTTATATTCGGAATATCGTTTGCTTTTATAATTTCAATAATTCGAGGAATTAAAATACACACGCACACACACACACACACACAATTATGAGATATCGATTTATGTAATCTCTTAATACAACGTGTACATACGTATAAGATACAATTTATAAAAATACTTAACTAATGAATATCATGAGCACGCTGCGACATTGACAGGCGATTTTGATTTTTTTTCTCGGTTCTTAAAATCAATCAGTTTTTATCTTAATTAAGTCTTATTATATGCATAAATTGCGCATATTAAACTCCGCCATTGATTCTTTTTATCGCGGATCGCTCTGACGTTTCGCAACTTAATGACAATAGAAATATAATTTCACAAGAAAGCGTAAACACATACTCGCAATCAAAACGAGTGACTGTGTTTAATGTGTGTGTACGTTGGCAACAAATGTGTCAATATATGCCTCGCTGATGGGCGTCATCGAGAGCGACGAGATATCTCGTTGCATTACACAGTAAGTGGGTCCATATTAGTCGCCATTGTCATTTACAGAGACTGACGTCTCTGTAAATGTGAGCGCGCCAAAAATAGAAGTCCTTAATTAATTATTCTTTGTTACCCACACTTGTCTTTATGAGCGCGACCTCCATAATTTTTTCTTCCGACGTAATAAAGAGAAGGTGTTTTAGAGAGCTTGAATATATATGCACGCACATTATATATGTACACGTATATATTATATACATTATTATACACATGTATAAATTATCGTATATTATATTATACTAAATTATATATTGGATTGGTCAGAAAGTCTTTTCGTATTTTAATACGAATTTTAATATAAAAATAAAAGACTTTCTCTGATCAATCTACAATATATTATATATTATATATTATATATTATATATTATATATATTATATATATATTATATATATTATNTATTATATTATATTATTATTAAGAATGTAATATATGTTACAGTTGTATATATCATTTATATATATAATATATATCTATTACACATACATATTTATATTTTTACTCTCATACGCATAAGAGAAAAAAAATGTGCCTGTTAAAAATGGAAAAAATTTTATTGCTCTCTCTAACATTATCAAAGAGTTGGAGATAAAAATAATGTCTCGCTATTTTTGTCAAAAACATTTGACTAAGTGTACGAGATATTACACCTTCCTCTTCAAGTCGATCAATTCTAAGAAGACATTTCCTTGTGTGCCTCATCATGCATTTCAAAAGTACGTACATACACTCGTACATACGTTCAAGCATTCACACATTAAATACTAGCTTATAAACACACACACACACACATACACGGAGTTTCGTCTTATCTTTTATAAGCTAACATACTATCTGGCTGTTGTAAAAACGTAACCATTTGAAGCTGTCTAAACCTACCCAAATATAGGATTTACAACGCGTTGTTATATTTGTAAATTCGAGAACAAAAGCTGAGTACATGACAGAGCAATTACGTGCCGTGTGTGTTTTATTGCGACATGTGATATTCGAATCTCGCGATTCAAAGTTCATTACGCGAAATAATTGAATGAAATAATTGCAGCAGGAAAACATTCCATTTTTTTTTCAATGTTACTACAATTGGATTGAAGATTGGTGGTCATTAAAATAAACAATCAAAACGTTCACCAATTACGAATCGAAGATCCGTCTCTGTCTTCTATTCCTGGATTATTCAGTTTAAAAAAAAAAACTAAGTTTTTAATTTAAACTGATATATTTGATGCTTTTTAATTTAAAATTATAATTATTTTCCTCCAATAAAACAAAATCCGCAGATAAGAGATTCGTGTATGTGTGACGATGTTAATCAGGATTTATGCCGCACAAAAATGCACAAATTTCAACATAGCACATGATTAAGTAATTATATATCGTCTTATCGCCGGTGTTGGAGTAAATTGCGCGTGTGATAATTTCATTATTGATTATTCAAGCGGCAATATTGTTGGTGTGCATCAGCACGATCTTTGAACGCGTTCAATATCTTCCTCACGATAAAACCAACGTCGCGCATTTGAGTTGTCAGAAAAACGTCTCGATAATTTTACCAGATAAGTGTCGAATCTCTCGTTTATCGTTAATTTATCGCGCGCGCAGTGTCTCTTGTAATTTTGTGACTAAAACATTCATTTGTCCAAAATTTGTTGCGTAAACAAATAAGAAGAAAAAAAAACACTACGTGTAAAAATACTGTTTTGAAATTTATTTGCCACGTGTTAGAGCAAACAAAAAGATCGCGTTCTCCGATCGAAACGTTTGCAATGTATGAAATTAATAAAAATGAATAAAAATTGAAAAAAAAAACATATACCTTGTCTGTTTCTATTGGCCTTCCTGTTCACTTGCTAAAAAGCGTGAAAATTCATCCGAAACTTCTCTTCACGCGCGGGGCTTCCCGGCGATCGATTAAATCGGACA